GGGGCCTCGATGGTCCCAAAGTGCGAGACATCTGTCGATCCACCAAATTTAATAAGGAATTCCCGGGGTCCCAAGTAAGGTCCTTACTTGGGTGCCTGGCGGTCCCAGAATTCAGGGCCTTACTGGGTCCTCGGCGGTCACAGGTCCCACAGGTTCCACAGGTCCCACGTGTCCCAGATGTCCCACAGGTCCCATAGGTCCCACGGGTCCCGCAGGTCTCGAAGGTCTCGCCGGTCCCGCAGGTCCCGCAGGTCCCGCAGGTCCCACAGGCCGCACAGGTGCCACAGGTGCCACAGGTCCCGGAGGTCCCGCAGGTCCCGCAGGTCCCACAGGTCCCACAGGTCCCTCAGGCCCAACAGATCCCACCGGTCCCAAGGTCTTGCAGGTGTCACAGGTCCCGCAGGTCCCACAGGTCCCACAGGTCCTACAGGTCTTACAGGTCCCACAGGACCCACAAGTCGCAAAGAAGGTGCCAAAGGTCCCACAGGTCTCGCAGGTCCTACAGGTCCCACACGTCCCACAGGTCCCAAGGGTCCCACAGGCCTCGCGGGCCCCACAGGTCCCACAGGCCCCACAGGTCCCACATGTTTCACATGTCCCATAGGTTCCACAGGTTCCGCAGGTCCCGCGTGTCGCGCAGGTCTCGCAGGTCCCGCAGGCCCCGCAGGCCCCGCAGGTCCCGCAGGTCCCACTGGGTCCCACAGGTCCCACAGGTCCTACAGGTCCCACAAGCCCCACAGGTCCCGCAGGCCCCACAGGATCCACAGGGTCCGTAGGTCCCACAGGTCTCGCAGGTCGCGCAGGACCCGCCAGTCCCGCATACTCCATAGGCCCCGCAGGCCCCGCAGGTCCCACAGGTCCCACATGCAGGTCCCGCACGTCCCACAGGTTCCGCAGGCCCCACGGGTCTTACAGGTTTTAAAGGTCTCGCAGGTCCCGCATGTCCCGCAATTCCCACAGGTCCCGTAGGTCCCAGAGGACCCATAGGTCCAACAGGTCCCACAGGACCCGCAGGTCCCGCAGGTCCGCAGGTGCCACAGGTCCCACAGGTATGAATGACCCCACAGGTTTCACAGGTTCTCGCAGGTCCACCGGTCGCACATGTCCCGCAGGTCCCGCAGCTCTCACAGGTCCCACAGGTTCCGCAGGTCTCCCAGGTCCCTCAGGTCCCACAGGTCCCACAGGCCCCCCGGGTCCCACAGGTCCCGCAGGTCCGACAGGTCCCGCCGCCAGCACAGGTCCCACGAGTCCCACAAGTCCCGCAGGTCGCGCAGGTCCCACAAATCCCGCAGGCCCAGCATATCCCACATGTCCCACAAGTCCCACATGCCCCACATGTCCCACAGGTCCTACAAGTCCCGCAAGCCCCGCAGGCCTCGTAGGTCTGGCAAGTCCCGCAGGCCCCGCAAGTCCCAGTCCCCCCAGGTCCCACATGCCCCGAAGGCCCCACAGGTCCCACAGGCCCGATAGGGCTTACAGGTCCTACAAGGGCCACGGGGTCCGCAGGTCCCGCAGGTTCCGCAGGACCCGCAGGTCCCACAGGTTTCGCAGGTCGCGCAGGTCCCGCATGTCCCACACGTCCCACAGGCGACGCATGCCCCACAGGCCCCTCAGGCCCTACAGGTCCCACAGGCCCCACAGGTCCACCCAGCCCCTCCGGTCCCACAGGTCCCACAGGTCCCACATGTCGCGCCGGTCCCGCAGGCCCCGCAAGTTCCGCAGGTCCCACGGGGCCTACAGGTGCCACAGGCGCCACAGGTCCCACTGGTATCGCAGGTCCTGCAGGTCCCACAGGTCCTACGAGTCCCTCAGGTCCTACAGGTCCGACAGGTCAGGCAGGTGTCGCAGGTGGCGCAAGCCCCGCAGGTCCCACAGGTCCCACAGGTCTCGCAGGGACGACAAGTTTTGCAATTTCGAAGGCCCCACAGGTCCCACCAGGCCCACGCGTCCCACAGGTCCCAAGGGTCCCACAGGTCTCGCAGGTCCCTCAGGTCCCACAGCTACCGCAGCCCGCACAGCTCCCACAAGTTCCACAGGGCTCACGCTCCCAACATTTCTCCCAATTCCGGCAGGTTCCACAGGTCCCGCAGGTCCCACAGGTCACCTTTGGTGTTATTAAGATGGTTCCTGGGGTGATGTTTGCAAGGCGAAGGCGCGTGTAATTGCATGCGCTGCGCGCAGTGCAGAGTGAACCGTGAGTGCAAGTGCGAAACGCTGCCATGTAAATTTGGGATTGCGCCCGTCCTGGAATCTTTTTGTGAACTTGCGGTTGCGGTGGTTTCCATCGTGGTCATTCCGGCGGACAGCTCCCCACCAGCTCCGTCAGTGCAAGCGCTTGCGTGGTAAAGGGGGTTGCCCCCACGCCCCTCCTTCTCTCCTCCGCCCCCTCTTTCTCCTCCCTCGTCCCCCGCGCGCGGCGACTCGCCCCCACGTTGTGGCGGTAGAGGGGCACACGACGTTGTTCGTTTTGTTAGCCAGTGCGCGTCTCAGATCTTTGCTGGCCTCCGGAAGGACACGATCAAGAGGGTGAATGGAGGGGTGCCGTGTCGGTCGGCCCCTGGTGGGATGGCGCCCCTCACCAGGGAGCCGGAAAAACAATGGCTCCTCGGATCGGCACCCTCCTTTTTTTCTTCGGTAGGACTCGACTTGTGGGAGTTGCCTCCCCTCACTTTGCCCTCCTTCCTCCGTTCTTGCATGCGCATGTCTGTTTATACAGTTACATCTTAGTGTCTGCACATCGGTGTTATTCTTCACCAGGGGCCGGCCGGCTGTACTTGGGCTGGCGTTAGGCAAAGGCTGCTGGCATGCTGCGCAGCCGTTTTCCGCTCTCCTTCCTCCCCTCTTCCCTTCTAGTGCTACTGTGTGCGATTTTAGTTTTCGGCTGAGTAGGCCAAAGGGGGATTTCCACACAGGGTTGGGATCTCAAGTTTGCGTGGTCGTTCATGGAGCTTGGTCTCTGCGCTAGCTAAATCTCATTCCACGATTTCTGACCCATGTTGCCATTTAGGGAAGTGTTGCCAGTGCTTTTTTACTTCTGGCATGGGCCAGGGCTTAAAGTTGACGTCGCGCGTGACATCTCGCCACCAGCAGTGTTTCGCAAGTGTCGAGCGTGGCCGGCACGCGGGTACGGGAGACGGTTCTGGCAGGGCCTCGGGGTCCACCTCACGGGCACGGTGAGGATGCCACTGAGTCGGCGGGAGCTGCTCTGATGGTGCTGTGAGACAAAAAAAAAACATCAGCGCTGCAGCGGCGGCGGGCAAAGTACTCTGTGAAAAGATTGGGGGGCGAACAGCAGGCGGAAGCTGCGGGACGCCTGGCAGCAAGCGCAGCAAAGCGACCACGCCCGCAAGCCAGAGTTGCTGAGTGTTCGAAGGTAGCGGGCTGCAAGACAGGAGGCAGGGCGAGGGAAGCCTATGCGGCGGGGGGCAGCGCGCTGGCAGGAGGGGGGGCCCGGGCACGGGGACCTTCCCGCAGAACGTGGCCCAGTCCTCGGGGCAGAGATAGGCTTGGCATTGCTCGGACGTGTGCATTTTTTTCTCGGCGACGGCCATCGAGGACCATCCTTGATCATTTGGCGAAGACAAACACGCACGAAATCGACAAATACACGAGGAACGGACGTCCGAGCGATGGCAAGTAGGGGGGGACAGGCTCAGGGGGGGGGGGATAGGCTCCGATGGGGGGGAGAAGGAGGCGCACCAGGGGCAAAGACAGGGGGGATCGGCTCAGGGCGGGGGAGATGCGTCGAGCCCCAGCCGCCAGTTGATCTCCGATAGGCAGGGGGGGAGGGGGATGGGACACGGGCTGCCCCACAGGTCGGGTGGTCGTTAGGGTTGTTTCCCCTCTGGCCCGAAGAGACCCTCGCAGTCGGGACACGACCGCCGAAACCCGGAACAGAGGCATCTTCCCCTCCCTGCCCGTGGACTCGGGCAAGACAAAAGGCTACACCGCGGGTTTACCCCCTCCCCAGCCTCTGGCTCCAGGCTTCTGCCATCCAATAAGCTTTCTGATATTTTGGCAACAGCTGCCAAAGCCTCAAAGTTGGGTTTAGGTACCCTATAAACCTTCCTCTTCCCTTCTGATCCTCATCCTCCTCCTTCTCCTCTTCCTCCTCCTCCTTATCGTTCTCTTCCCTCTTTCCTCCTCCCTCCCCCTCCTCCCTCCTCCTCATCCTCCCTCCTCCCTCCTCCCTCCCTCCTCCTCCTCCTCCTCCTCCTCCTCCTCCTCCTCCTCCTGCTCCTCGTCCTCCTCCTCCTCCGCCTCCTCCTCTTATCTTCTCTTATCTTCTCTTCACTTCTCTTCTCTTCTCTTCTCTTCTCTTCTCTTCTCTTCTCTCCTCCTCCTCCTCGTCCTTCTCCTTCTCCTCTTCCTCCTCCTTCTCCCCCTGCTCCTCTGTCTCCTCTTCTCCTCCTCCTCCGCCTCCCTCCTCTCCTCCTCCCTCCTCCTCCTCCTCTTCCTCCTCCTCCTCTTTCTGCTCCTCGTCCTCCTCCTCCTCCGTCCTCCTCATCCTCCTTTCTCCTCCTCCTCTTCTCTCCTCTCGCCCTCCTCCTCCTCCTCCTCCTCTCCTCCTCCTCCTCCTCCTCCTCCTCCTCCTCCTCCTCCTCCTCCTCCCTCCTCCTCCTCCTCCTCCTCCTCCTCCTCCTCCTCCTCCTCCTCGTGAAGGGATTTTCGCAGACGTATTCTCCATCTCCAGGGTCTGTGGCCCAAGGTCTACAGCAAGCGAGAGCAGGCCAGAAGAGCCAGGAGGCAGCGGGTTTAGTCTGCGTCCATTCGTAGCCGACGCAGTCGCCATACCCGTAACTCCGTAGCTCCTCCTCCTCCTCCTCCTCCTCCTCCTCCTCCTCCTCCTCCTCCTCCTCCTCCTCCTCCTCCTCCTCCTCTCTCTCTCCTCCTTCCCTCCTCCTCCTCCTCCTCCTCTTCCTCCTCCTCCTCCTCCTCCTGCTCCTTTCTCTCCTTCTCTCTCCTCCCCCGCCCCCCCGCTCCCTGCGGACGCGGCCCAGCGACAGCCCCGTCTCCGACTGGGCCTGGTTGTCGCGCGGCGAGCTGCCCTCGCACCTGGAGGAGGGCGAGTGGCGCGCGGTGCGCAGTGGCATCCCGCTGGACCTCGTCGGCGAGTGAGCCGGCGAGGGGCCGCCGCCGTCGCGGGGAGGGGGGGGGGGAGAGGTCCATTCCTCCTCCTCCTCCTCCTCCTCCTCCTCCTCCTGCTCCTCCTCCTCCTCCTCCCCCCCTCCCTCCTCCTCCTCCTCTCCTCCTCCTTCTCCTCCTCCTTCTCCTCCTCCCCCTCCTCCTCCTCCTCCTCCTCCTCCTCCTCCTCCTCCTCCTGTTCTCTCCGGGAGGGCTAGTCCAGGTCGCCCAAGTGGGGTCGAAGTTTATAAGCAGACGGGCTCGCTGGATCGTGGCGCATCGCCGATACATCGCTGGTGCGGCTCGGGGTGGAGCCCCATGTTCTTCACGCCGACCTGGTCGAGGCCTTGGCGATGCGCGGCGTGGAATCCGCTGTTCTCCACGCCGACGACGTCGCCGGTGCATCGGCGTTGCGTCGCGACCCTCCGACCCATCCACCTCGACCCCGCTTCGGCGGCCTCTGGTCGGAGGGTGCTGCTACCCGTCCCTCGTCGCCGCGCGGTTGGATTCGCCTCGAAGTCCGGGTCCGAGCGCGTCCTGGGAGAGCTCCATGGAGTAGCGGCATCGTCAGGAAGGAAAAATACACATTGACACAATTAATTGTCGATCCCCCGGAAAATATGCGAAAATATGGGAAGTGGGGGGAGGACGAAAATCCCCCCCAAAAAAATATAAAAACATAGGGAATCCTGGGATGTGCGTGTATTTGCGTGTGTGTGTGTGTGAGTGTGTGTGTGTGTGTGTGTGTGTGTGTGTGTTCTTGGGCCCCTTCGTATCGGTCTTCTTTTTTGTTCCCCCACGGGGGAGAGGAGGGGTCTCCGGACATCTGGCGGCCTCGAAGATTGGGCGTCGCGTAAAGGGGGGGCGATAAATGGGTGGGCGGCGACGGCTGCAGAAAAGGGGCCCTTTCGGGCCCCTAAAGGGGCCCTTTAGGGCTCCAGAAGAGGCCTTCAGGGTCCGAGAAGTGCACCTTCCTCCCCCCCCCCCGTGTACCGCCCCCCCATTTGGCGACGCCCAAGAAGAAGCAGGCGGAGCTGGCGGTCTGTCACACTTTCAGCTCGGGATAGGGAAGCCGTCTTTGGGAGAGGGGTCAAGAGGTCCAGGGGCTCGCGTCCGCCCCATCTCCTCCTCCTCCTCCTCCCTCCTCCTCCTCCTCCTCCTCCTCCTCCTCCTCCTCCTCCTCCTCCTCCTCCTCCTCCTCCTCCTCCTCCTCCTCCTCCTCCTCCCCCTCCCCCTCCTCCTCCTCCTCCTCTTCTTCTCCCCCTCAGCTCCCTTATTTGGAAGGTCTTGCGGCCGGTGCCGCCGACCCTGCAGGCGGACAACGACCACAGCGGCGGCGTCGGCGGCGGCGACGACGCTGACGGGAGGCAGAGTCGTCAGGGATGCCTCGTGGGGCCTCTGCGGAGCGCGCTCGCCGGCCGCTTGGGGGCAGTTGTACTTGGCATCGCTCGGACGTGTGCATTTTTTCTCGGCGAGGACCATCGAGGAGCATCCTCGATCATTTCGCGAAAGAACACGCACGAAACCGAAAAAAACACAGGGAGTGGACGTCCGAGCGCTGGCCAGTGTGAGGCCTCTTGGGAGGGATGGACCGCGCCTGAAAAGCCTCCTCCTCCTCTCCCTCCTCCTCTTTTTCTTCCTTTTCCTCCTCCTCCTCCTCCTCTTCCCCCTACTCCTCCTCCGCCTCATCCTCCTCCGCCTCCTCCTCCTCGTCCTCCTCCCTCTCCTCCTCCTCCTCCTCCGCCTCCTTCGCCTCCTCCTCCTCCTCGACCCTGAGGCTCGCGCAGCCTCCTCTTTGGCTGCAGCTCTGGCGACCAAGACCGCCACTCGCTGCCTCTCGGGAGCTCCTCCCGCTCCTCCCCCCCTTTCCTCCCCGATTCCCCCTCTCCCCTCCTCCGCTCCCCCCCTTTCCCACTGGGGGGGGTAGGGGGGGCTGGGGAGGGCGGAAGACGCAGGAGGGACTTTTGGGGGGCCTCTCGTCCCCCCCTCGCCGGAGAAGCTGCAGGGGGCAGCTCCGACAGCGCCTGGAGGACAGGTCGTCGTCGTTGTCGTCGTCGTCGCCGTCGTCGTCGAACGTGGGCTTGGGGTAAGTCGGGCCTGTCCCTCTACAGGAGGAAAACTTTGTCACAACAAAATAGTATGGGGACTATTTTTTGCATGTTTGCATTATCTTTTTTGATATTTTTGACTATGCTTCATTTTTCCTCAAAAATCGGCCTGTAGGGGGGCAGGCTCGACCGAAGGCTTGGGGAATGTCCCAGTTCTCCTGAGAAAAGCCACAGGCTCCTTGTTCCTGAGCATCGCAGGACCGAGAGACGACAATGAGAAACAACGAGGCAAGAAGGGCCGGCCTGCCCTTGAGTCGGGCCTGTCCCTCTACGGGAGGAACACTCGGAGACAGAAACAAAGATAGTAAGGGCACGCGACGTGTCGACTATTTTTGCCGATTTGGGGGTAATTTTTTAAGGAAGCGAACAATGACATAAACAGAAAAACTCGGAGGTCCGCGCGGATTTCTCGGATCGGCGCTGGGGCCCCCTGGCGGCGCCTCCGGCGCCGCCCCTGGCGCGCTCCGCGCGCTGGGGAGGGGGGTCCTGCGCCGATCCGAGAAATCCGCGCGGACCTCCGAGTTGTTATGTTTATGTCACTTTTCGTTCCCCTATCTTTGAAGCCCACAATTTCCCCTGTAGGGGGACCGGCCTGCCCGTAAGTCGGGCCTGTCCCTCCACAGGAGGAACACATCGAATATAGAAGCAAAAATAGTATGGGGACGATGTGTCGACCATTTTTGCCGATTTCTGGGGGGTAGTTTTGGAAGCCCAGAATTCCCTTGTTTGCCAGCCTGGAACATATCCCTGTCCCTATGCTGGGCACCGCCCCATCACGATGCCAATCTCAGGGATTCCCTTATTTCTTGAGGGCGCATCCCTTAGATTGTCATCGCCTTGTGGCGTGTCCATCTTCGGGATAGGGACGTGCCCGACCGCAGCCCACCCGAGCCAGGCTCGGAGCTCGGCGGCCACGGCTGCCTCCCGAGAGCCCCCGTGCCCCCCCCCACGGCCGGGGGCGCGCGGAGCGGCGGCGGGGTATCCGCGGGGGCCCGTCGCCCTCCGGGAGGAGAACTTGGCATCGCTCGGACGTGTGCAGTTTTCCTCCGGCGAGGACCATCGAGGAGCATCCTTGATCATTTGGCGACAGAACCACGCACGAAAGCGAAAAAGCACAGGGGATGGACGCCCGAGCGATGGCCAGAAAGGGGCGGGGAGGGGGAGCGGAGCGGGCGCAGTGAAAGGAGCGCTGGCCATGGCATCCGGCGATCGCAAGCATGGATTCAGGGGGCGTGGATCAGCGACGGGCCCCGTGGCCTGGGAAGTCGCGGAGTTCCGCCGCCGAACGAGGCGGCACGGGCCGCATTCTGGGGAGAACACCTCCCCCGATCCATGGATTTGGCGACCGCGCGCCTAATCATGGGAGGAGGGGGCTCGGCGCCCTCCGGGAGGAGAAGAGGCGAGGAGGGGGATCATGCGGTTCCAAGAGGGACCGCAGGGAATGGGACTTCTGAGACGGGCGACGCCGATCTCTCGGTCGCCGCACGACGCTATCGCTCGCACTTGCCGAAGTCCCAGATGCAACGCCGCTGTCTCAGAAGTCCCTTTCGCTGGCGTCCCTTTCTAGGAAACGCATCAGGGGAGCGGAGCAGGCGCAATGGAAGGAGCGCTGGCCATAGCATCAAGTCGGGTGTGTCCCTCTACAGGAGGAATATTCAAAGATAGTCAAACTAGTCTGGGGACGATATTTCGGGTATGTTTTTTTTTGTTTACTATGTTTTTGTATTTTGTTGAATATGTTTTATTTTTAGTCGGAAATCGGCCTGTACGGGGACATGCCCGACCTAACCATAGCAGGAGCAGGAGAGGCAGCAGAAGAGTACAGTAGCGGTTGCTTGTCGTATGGATGAGGGCGATGGCGTGCACAGGCATGGCGCACAGGGAAGGGCAGAAGGAGGACGGGGCTGATGGTGATCGTGGGGATGTGATGACGACAGTGCGGAAGGGGACAACAATGTGTTGACGATCGGGTGGGCAGGAGGACACGCAACAGCAGCAGGAGAAGGAGCCGAGATCGGAGCAGGCGAACACGATGATGAACAGGAGCGTGAACATGAGGATGCACAGGAGCAGGAGCGGGATGATGTTGGTATTGAGTCGGGCGTGTCCTTCTACAGGAGGAATATTCAAAACTAGTCAAACCATAATCAGGGGACGATTTTTGTTGGACAATCGTTGCATGTTGTTTGGACATGGTGGGTTTTTTATTTTTCGTTCAGAATCCCCCCGTAGGGGGACAGGCCCGACGTAAGTGAAGGCAGAAGACAAGGAGAGGAACAAATGATAAGAAGATGGGAGGGAGAGACGGAGAAGGAGAAAAGGGGAGGAGGAGCTGGAGGAGGAGGAGGAGGAGGGATACGATACTAGGACTACTCTCGGAAGGATTAGGTCGAGAAGGGAGGAATTAGGACGGATTGGGGGCTGCTATGGAAGGAGGGCGGAGGACCAGGACGAGAACGAGGGAGGCAATAACGAGGAATGATATAGGATTACGAAGGAACATGGGCGGGGGGGAGGAGGCATAACAGAGGAGCCGGGGCAGGAGGTAAGTGGTAGGAGGAGGGAGGAGGAGGAGGAAAAGGAGGAGGAGGAGGAAGGCGTAGGCGGAGTATTGAGGAAGAGGAGCATCAGCAGACGGAGGAGGGGTTTGGCTTGGCACGCGTATATTTATCGCCCCCGTCCCCTTCTTTAGGATGCGTTTTGGGGTAGGTGTTGTGGCCAACTTGGGTTTGCTTGAGTGTGCGCTTTTGGGCCGCGCCAGAAAACTGCATCTTCAGGTCAGATCGGTGCGGGACACATTGCTTTTGCATCTTGTTGGTGAGCTTTGAGTTTGCGTGTGACTGGCAGCTTGGGTCTGATTTATGCCTGTAGAGAGTAGTGGTCGAG